AGAGTAAGTATTATGTTAAACGGCCTCATCTGAAAACTCAATAATTTTGAAATTACAAAATGCAGCTGCTTTTTTAAAGATCAAGGGAGTCGTACAGGCTAAAATTTCACTTTATGGCACCAAAGTTAACCGAAATTACTATCTGCAAATACTGATGAGGGCGCAAGCCGGTGAATAAAAGGTCGACCAGATTTGCGGTGATCGGAGCACTGGCTCACTTATATTGATAACGCACCTGCCGACACGGCGTTAAAAATCAACTAGTTTTTGTTGAAAAACGATAGAACGCTTTTTTGTGCACTCACTAAACGGTCCCCAGCGATTTCATCTCATGCCCTCGAGTGAAGACAAATCTACAGGAGAACGTTTTCCGAACGCACAGTCGTTTCCCTAATTCATTAAATCACATTATTTTTGAAAGAACGTCCCCTTCTACGCAAAACTAACCGGCACTGCGTAACCTTAAATTTCCCAACAGTAAGGAAACACTTGTTCTCAAAAAAGAGGGTATATTGTGGTTATTTAGTAATGCTTAATTGTTTACAAATACTAGGTTTTGCATAAAGGCAGCAAATTCCTAAAAAAGTTGAAAATTGTGGGTACTAAGTAAACTTAATGTTTGAATGTAGATAAAACCTATCTAGGCATAAAACAGAGTGAATTAAGCAACCTAATTGGCATTTTTTTTGAAAATAGTAATTTTTTAAACTTTTAAAAAAATATGTAGTTCTGTATCATACACAATGTGAAATTCACGGCCTTTTAGACACTGCCTATCATATCCAGGAAGTTTTAAAGCTGGGTTTTTGTAGGTCTGCCTGCTATTTCTTTCGCTTCGACATTATTTGAAAAACATGGACCAAAGCAACAAGATGTTCGTTCGATTGCGCCAAATGGGACGCAACGTGAAAAAAATAGTTCATAAGCTCGTAGGCAGACATGCTGGTCAGTGACTTATAACGTTAAATGTAGTTGTCTGGTGCAATCCTAAGCATACCATTTGGTGAACGTTAAGATAAATAAATTTCCGCCTTTATTCCTATTGCTGGTGTTCAATTACGTCAAGTTTCTCGAAATAGTGATGGATCGTTACAAGTTTCTGTGTGCTTAGTCTATTATTCAACGATTCTGTTCTCCTGGTTTATA